GAGTGCATTTATATAGAAATATTTATTTAATCTGAAAAACAACATTAAAAAAAGTCTGTTTTTACAGCAGAGATGAACATGTTTACAGCTTGGTACAAAACAAACAAATAGGTGTGATTAGCTCATGTCTCGATGGACAACACTGTAGGGGGGGGTGAATGTTTTGATGACTCATCAGTTTTGATTTGATGAAGGATAAGAGTTATTCACAATAAGGCGTGTAGCTGACCAGCTTGCAGGCGGGCGGTGTAACGGTTTGTCAAGAGGCTTAAAACGCCGTCCTCAGCTCTCAGCCTGTGGGTGACATCACTCAGGCCATCCGGGGAGACCTCCCTCACAGCGAGCTGTTGAAGAGAAGCAACTGAAGTCCACCCCAGAAGAACCAACAAATACAGATGTTGTTGAGGCTCAGGTTTCTTCCTCTGTCTCTGCAGCTCTCTGGGCACCTCGACGGACCAGTCACCAATAATCCACACTGTGTCTATAGGAGAAATACAAAGGTGTTCAATTAATGCTCAGACAAGACAAAATGTACAGTTAACTACATGTGACAGCTCAGGCTGTTTTTTTGTTATGAGCCACATCTGCAGGAATAATATTGAACAAGGTAGCTGCAACTCATCATAATAGATGCCAGTCTTAAACACTATTTTCTAATACTTAAAGTTTTTGGTGTGAAGCTGACACTGTCCACAGACTCCATGACTTCACAGGTTCAATAGAAAACAAATGTCTTATAATAAATACTAAATAATTATTTGTTCAATTGTCATGTTCACCTCATCGCTGTTGACATCAGTAAATATAAAACACAGACATTCCTCTTTTTGTCAGAACAGTAACATGAACTGTATGCTTTGTAATATTGATTTCTTCTGGATGTCTCATATTTATTTACAGTTTATGGATAAAACTTTGTTAATGTATTTCTCTGCTAACACTGACAAAGTCTAACTGCTCTGACAAATAACTAATAACCATAGTTGTATATTTAAAAAAGTGTAGTTTTAAGACTTTAATTAAATATTTGGGTTGAATATAATTAGTTTTAACTGTGTTGTAGAAAAGTTAAATGTTAACTTACTGTTTGTAGAGTTTTCTCAGGACGAGCAGGAATAGTTGATGATAGCAGCCTAGCTGTTAGTTATGTTGTCAAGTGGACTGCTGACGTCGAGCTGAATGGGCGGAGTTAAGTCCCGCCGGTCCCGCCTTACTGCTGTCGTTAGGTTGATCCGAAGTTAGGTTGAGACTGCAAATCCAATATGGATGCGGCCCTCGATTGGACTCATTTTCTGCCTATGTCACAGACGGGTCAGGGATCGTCCAGTAATATTTACAGTCTATGGTTGAACTACAGAGAGGAGGTTCCAGCTCTAACCAGGGTGCACAAAATCACAGGAACAGTTCAGCAGATCCTCGACCAAACACAAAGGCACGGTGGCGCCCTCTGCAGGCAATATGGCAAAGATGCAATGTAACAATTTCAAAGACAGTGTCATCTTGAGATCATCTGTTGTTATGTATAAGATGAGCTCAACCAGAAGGTTGGGGGTTCGATCCCCAGCTCCTGCAGCCTCATGTGTCCTTGGGCAAGACACCTAACCTATGTATGTATTTTTTTGTTGACTGTGTTTTTCAAGTTTAAGTGTTAGATGCCTCAATTTGTAGTAATGAGGTGACAACTTGAGCTGTACTGATTTCACACTTAAACATGCATCATTCTCTACTATCACCTCTCAACACCCCCTTCCTATTCATAGCTTTCAGTGACGTCACCAGCGCGGAGGGCTGGAGGGCAAAAAAAACCTTCCTAACCGATAAACGGCAGTAGCTCAGTCTGTAGGGACTTGGGTTGGGAACTGGAGGGTCGCTGGTTTAAGGGTTTAAGACCAAATATAGAAGTTGGTCTGGTAGCTGGTGCCAGATCACCTCCTGAGCTCTGCTGAGGTGTCCTTGAGCAAACTCAGACAGTTAGGAGCGTGACAACGGGAGGACAGAGACGGAGAATCACCATGAACGAGCTCAAATGGATTCAAACTTCTTTACTTCTCACAGCGCTGCTTCAGTTTGCTGGTAAGAACATTTATATCACATATTTAACCTTTTTTTAAACATGATGGATTTAATGAACTCTGAGAAACCACAGATGAAGAATTATTCTCAAACTGATTGTGAATATAATCAACATTTTATTGATTTACTTTATTCTTTGTCATTTTCTCAACAGCAGCAGCTGGAGTTAAAGAAGTCACATTTAAAGCTTCACTTGGAGAGGACGCCACGTTGTCTTGTCAAACTGTGATACAAGGTCAACAGAAGTGTGAATATACGACATGGAACTTCATTGATTCAGGAAACAGAGCAGCAGTAGAGCTGGTTGCACATGGTCAGGTTAGAAACTCTGGAGTTAAATCAGACAGACTGAGAGTTACAGAGGACTGTTCTCTGGTTATAAAGAAGATCAGAGAGGAGGATGCTGGACGTTATGAGTGTCTACAGTACATATCAGGAAGAAGAACAGGTGATGTGACTCGAGTTCATCTCTCTGTTAACAAGAGTAAGTATTTCAATAATCTTTTCAAACAAAACTTTTCTAATTCAAACAATAAACTGAAACATTACAATAATTATAAAGACTCTGATGAAGTTAATTTGTCTCTTGTTGTGTTTCTCTTATAATATCTCCATCCTTACTTTGGACTGGAAATACTTCAAATATTAAAAGTTTTTTTGGATTTGAAGTTTGAATTTTATATTAAAACACAAGTTTAGTGCTGAACAGTTTGTTTTGTTGAGTTTATCTCAACTTCAGGTGAGGACGCCAAACCAGAACCAACAAGTCCAACAACAACAAGACCAACAACAACAACAACAACAACAACAAAACCACCAACGACAACAGCTGCTACTACAGGTAAAAGTACAAAAGCAACAGCAAAATCACCTAAAAAAAGGGTCTCCTGTTGTCTTCTGCTCTCTGTGTTTGATTCTGATTAAGGACAGAAGTCTGAGGTCATCATGCTTCACATATTTTCATTTTTCTGGCAGACTGGCGTTGGTGGTTGATCTTCGTGCCCGTGGTGGTTTTTATAGTTCTGTTAGTGGTTGTTGTGAAAGTCATCAGACGGAAAGGTGAGAGCACAGATGAACATTTTCATGAAGAAAAAAAAAGCTTTAATTACAGAAGTTGAATGTTTGTTAGCTTCAGTTAACCTCTACATTTTAATATCTAGAAGTTTGGATGATCCATATTTCTTGTTTGGAAGCTAAAGTCCAGCTGTTTCTGTGTCTCTACAGGAAACAGAACGCAGATGGGTGACGATGTTGTAAGTCCCAAAACGTTTGATTATGATGTTTGTTCTCATCGGCTGCTGAACAAAAATGTAAAGAAATGCTTGTTAAGAAGCAATAATGGTCCTGGAGCATGTTTTTGTTCTGCCTATTCTCCCATCAAACTCTTAACCCTCATAACTCCTACAGGAGGCATTTCTTTGTGTACCTTGTTTGGTCTGCCTGGCCTCTTTTTGTAATATTTCATGTATAAGCTCAAGCTTCTTGAGCACAATCAAGTTACAGACATCTATTTTTTCAAGATAACCGGGAATAACAGAGTATGTCTACTGCAGTGATGTCAGATAAATGGATTAAACTACAGCCTCTGAAATGAAAAGTCCATAATGATAAACTATCAATAAGCTTCATGGAGACACTTTTTGTCTGTCATACTTCAAAACATCTCTAGTTAAACTGAACTGAACCAACAGTCAGTGGTGTGTCCAGGGGGGCAGCCAGGGGTGGCAGGGCCCTCCCTAAAACTTGACTCGCTACGCTTGGTGCCGTTCTAAAATTCTAGACTATGATTGGCTGTCTGCCTGGAGGAGGAGGGGCTTATGTTCAAAACTGGGCAACAGGTTCTGCCTGTAGCTTTTGTGAAGTTTTGATGTTGCAAATCTTTCTGTGACTTTCCACAAACATCTTTTCTTTTCTTTTTACTTTTTAAACAGTTAAGTTTTTAAAATGAATTACTGAAACCTTGATTGCCCCTCTGGGAATTTGACAAAGGTTAATATGTTATTTGACTTTATTAGTAGGGAACATGCTTCTTATGTAAGATAAAAAGTAGATGACATGCATACATGTTTCTAGGCTAATTTGCAACCCCTGTTGTCAGGCATACCACCCTGCATGAGTCCACCCAAGTCAGAAAAGTCTGGACATGCCCCTGCTGACAGACTTAAGATGTTTTGAAGCATGCATAAATCTACTGCATTACATTGCAGGTGTTATTATTATTTAGCTCCCTAACAATGTTTGCACTGAATGCATAATGTGATGTGTTTTCTGTCCAGGAGCTGACCTCAGACCCTGCAGGGTCTCGGTCTGCTGCAGGGACCGGTCAGGACACGGTGAGATCACAACTTTACCCTCTTTGTTGCTGTGTTTGCTCGCTACATGTGACCATAGCAGAGTCTTTTTTGAATTCTTCATTGATCTGAGCTTAGGTTTTTTAAGATTGAAGTGCAAAAACACAACAGGATTCATAACATTTTTTTACATAAGAGTAGAGAGAAGTTCTTCAGACGGAGACTGTGATGAAAATTAAGATGAAAACAGAGGCTTGATAAATTAAGACATCATAAGGGTCATTCTTTGGATACCATCAAATGAGCTTTTCACAATTCATCCTGCATATTCAGAAGTTTAAAAAAACATTTCTGTGAAGACACAGAGAAAGAGTCATTCCTTCCATTACACTAATCTTATTTATTATATCTGTCCACTTGTGGGAGGTTCAGGAAGTCATCAGCAGCACGCAAGTGTTTTTTTAAAGAGCAGAAACCCCCCCACCTTAAAATCATAATTTCCTTAGATTAGTGTGATAAATTGCTCTTCAGTCTTCAGAGGGTGACAACGATAAAAAGGGAAGTTTGATAGTGATGCAACTTCAGAGCACCAGGAACGTATCACACTGTGGGCTCACAGATTGTTTTTTTTCCTATCTTGCTGACAGAACATTCTCAGTACATAGTTATGTGGGGTACCACAGGGCTCTGTCCTGGGGCCCTTGCTCTTCTCCCTTTATCTGCTACCCCTAGATAAGATTATAACCAGTTTTTTTAATTTGCTCCAATCAAAAGCACAGGTCACGATAAACGTTACTGAGCAGCTGTTTTGTTGTCTTCTCTGTGTAGGCTGATCCTGAAGGCGGGGTTTCCTACGCCTCCATCAGATACAACAAGAAGGGGAAAAGAGAAGCTCGGGTAAGCTGTCTGATTGGTTAAAGTCAGGATGGATGTGAACTTTAAAAACGTCTTTATTAAAGTCATGAAGCTCAGGTCAACAAGTATCGGCTGTGCTATCAGTGTGTCCACGTTTACACTTTATTCTTCACATTTCCACGTTATACTTTACTTGATACTTTATTTCAGACCCATCGGTCCTTATCATTATAAAAAAGCACAAAAAATATAAACACAGGACATCAACGAAGGGATATAATCACTACAGTTTACAGTTTGTCAGTAATTAAGAACACAAGGAGACATCTGGACCAGTGTTTCCAGAGACACGAGGAACACCTTGAGTCACTTAGTGTGGGCGGAGTCAGAGACATCGTGATCATATTTTCTGTATTAATGAATCCACACATACATTTATACATAACATTTCTCAGCACGGCATGACATGTGGAGACGTTACTAGAAACAAAACAAATTTCAATGTTATATTTTGACTTCATTCTCGATGTATCAACTTGCACTTTGCATTTAATGATGTCATTTTGTGTTATTTAATGCTCTGTGATCTATCTCCAGGTTTGTGCTAAAGACAATGCTGACGATGGTTCAGTGACCTATGCCTCCATCAAAGCTTCTTCTTCTTCTACTGCTGCAGGAGCCTCTGCAGATCCCAGCATCCTCTACGCCACCATCAACAAAGAGAAGAAATAAGAATCCAAAGTAAAGTTACAACTCAGGTTTTTTCAGCATTCTACACTGAAAACTACGGCGCCCTACAAGGCTCAGGTAGGACAAAATTAAAAGCAATTTGTAAATCTTTTTTTCACGGTTCACAAATCTGTGTGCACAGTTTATTAACAGTGCCCATGGATTTGTAAACCGTGTGCATGGATTTGCAATCTGCAGGCACACTTTCAGTTTAAAAAACCATGCGCACTGTTTTGAAATCTGTGTGCACAGATTGTAAATCAGTGTGCATGGATTTGTTGAAATGATCGACAGCTTTTTATTTTTTGTCTCACCTGAGCCTTGCAGGGCTCAGTAGAAAACAGATACTGATAGATGTGTTTGTATAAGACTTTGTGTTGATGACTTTCAAGAGTTATTGCTTTAAGATGCTTTTCCTTCAAAAGAGGGCGTTGTAGGTTTACTAGTAGCACAAAGACCTAGCATAATACCTCTGCATGAAATGTAAATCTACGGAGATCCCAAAAGTAAAAAAAAGATATTGGGCACACCAGTTAATATCTTGTGTGAACATGATACTAACAAACCTTTGACTACATGCTAGTGTGTGTGAGCACTGACTGTTTCTTGTCTTAATCCTTGCACACAGGATATTCACTTGTGAGCACAACATAACATCTTGTGCACAAGTTAGATGATAACTCAAGTGCACAAGATATTTTTTTCCACTTTTAGGACTTCAGGGGCTCCATATAAACCAGCTTTTAAAATAAGTTTATATACGCAGCAGGCACTTTGATGTGCATGTGTTAAGTTGTAGTTTCTCATCACTGCTCAGATCATTCTGTATGTACTGAGAGGTACATGACTGAGAAGAGGAAGTGAGATAACGATCATCTTGATTAAGTCACATCCGAGAGTCTGTAGAAACCCATAAAAGGCTAAATCGACAGAGTGTGAACTTCATGACAGATAAAGGAGGAACCAGAAAGTGGGGTAATATACACTTTACTAATAAGAGGAAGGTGAGGAATAGTTCTCTTGATGCAGCTCCAGGTTAGACGCTTAAAAGAGAGAGGAGAGAGACATGAGGGTTCAGTTGTTGAAATGTTTTCTTCTGAACATCATAAAATAGCTCTTCAACTCGATTTAGGGGGGAATATTATTACAAGAACTTCATTTCATGAATGCGTTCTTATACCTTAAACACAGTTAGTCTGAGTTTTGTAATAATATTTCTTGTGTGCAGCTCAATGTGTTCAATTTAAGAAGTGAAATATACATGTTTGTTAACGTTTAAATCCTGGAAAATATGGAGGCAGCTATACGTTTCTGTTGTTGATCTGATGGTCTGTTTCTTTGAAAAATATCTTATTTACATTCACGTCGATGATGAGCGACATTTACCTGCCCAGCGAGACTAAAGGAACAATGTGCGACATGTTACACCTAAATATATCTTAAACCAAGTCTATCCTGTGTGAATGTCTCTCTGAGTCATGACTGTCTAGTGTGAGGGAGAAGCTCGAGTCCCGCTGGCTGTGTTGTTGTCAGAGCCGTGTTTACATGGACGGGACGGCCGGCTCCTCCCCTTGTGTATAAAAGCTGTTTTAGTCAAGAACTAGAGAGAAGAAGAAGAACATACTCACTGATTATTTTGATATCACATAAGCATTTTTAGATTGTTATCTATATCAATTTATATACAATGTGAAGCTACAAGCTAACTTAACTGTGCTAACAGTAGCATGCTAACACAACAATGCAGACCACAGGCAATTGCAGCTCGAGCAAAGGATGATTTAGTCCACCGCTTACGCTTAACTCCTTAATGGGAACTTGAGTGGAGAGGGGTTGGAGGTGTGTCTCTGTAGGAGGGCGGAGGCTTCAGGATGGAGGAGGCGTGGCCAAACAGCAGTTTGTTTTGGTTTCATGCTGGTGCTTAAGGGCGACATCTACTGGATCATAAAGTCACACATTCTTCCTTTATCATTGAACAGAAAGTATTGATGATATCTTTTAGATGTGATTGAGGTTTTTTAATTGTTTTTGCACATTTGTGAGACACTGAAGAACTCTGTAATGTCAAATCTGTTTGAAGTTGACGGCCCCTTCTCCTCACACTGTGGGGGGGGGGTGAATTTTTTTATAACTCATCGGATTTTATTCTATTAAGGAAAACACTATGCCCATAATAGGTTTGAGGCAGATTTGATTGACAGCTCTTCGCGCGACATCTGTCTGTCAGGTCAGGAGGTCAGCAGGTCAGGAGGTCAGCAGGTCAGGAGGTCAGCAGGTCAGGAGGTCAGGAGGTCAGGAGGTCAGCAGGTCAGCAGGTCAGGAGGTCAGGAGGTCAGCAAGTCAGGTCTGTATTCATGCTGTTCAAATAAAAATAGATCTCCTCCAAACAACTTGCAATCAAACTATTTTCTTCCCATTTTAAAACCCTTTGTCCAGTTTAGATGGGAAAAGTTGATATTATGTGATATTGATCTGATAAGACTACATTTCTAAATCATTTTTAACTGTTTTTATTCACAAGTTATTGATCTTATTTACTCTCCATGTATCTTGATTTAAAAATGGGGCTGTGTTTAAGGTCATATTTTTGCAATGACTCTGTTCCATCCCACTTTCAGAAATGAACTACATTAGTACTTGGTAAAAAAAAATGTCGAAAGAATAAGAAGTTGTGTAAAAGTAGACTTCCTTCCCTAAGCTATTGAGTTTAGCATTAATGCACATTTTAGTCTTGTCCTTTTAAAATCTGAAATGTATACTCATAAGTAGACATAAAGGAGTGCATTTATATAG